CTAGACCCGCAGTACCCACAGAACAGAGAAAGTGTTAGAAAGGCACATTCTTGGGTTCCACATCAAACCCATGGAATCTAAAATTGCAGACATGGGACCCCCGCAATCAATTTTAACAAGTCCTCCAGGGGATTTTAATGCTAAGTCCTGACATCCATTACACGCAGGCGACAACGATAGAGACCACTGTAAGACGTGGCGGCCTCAATCGGTGGGCAGAATTTCGATTCTGAAGCCTATGCCTAGGTCTTCCATTTCTGAGAGGAGCGGTGCACGACCCCAGGTAGCCAGCACTGCAGAGTAAAGTCACCCTGCTTCAGGGTTGGCCTAACATACTAGACTGGGGCAGTGGAGAAGCTTAGCTCTCTTTATTCAACCCAAGCCCTTGTCCCGCCCCTGCCTCCGCCCACTCATGGCCCGAGCACCCCCACCCTCAGGCTCCAACTTCCGGCGCTGGAGAAGTGGTCGGCAGGGTTGGGACTGGGGAAGGATGTATCCAATTTCGGGACTGGCGGGGGACGCCTTCTTTCATTCAATACCCCTATTTGCTAAGAGGCCGGATGACGCGGCGGAGGAAGAAAGACAGGCTAGTCTAGGACAGGTATGTAGGCAGTCTGGGATCTAACAAGGGAATAAAGGAGTCTGAAACTCCTGCTCTCTTCCTTGCTTTACTTTCCCACCCCTCGCTTCCAGGAATGGAAAAGACGGAGGATTGCGGCTGTGATAGGGGCGGGGCGCGGGGTGGTGCAAGGAGGAGAAATCTCGCGAGAGCGGAGCGACCGGGGAGGGGGTGGCACCTCTTCCCTCCTCCTCCTCGCGTTAGTTCCGGTCGCAGAGGAGACACCGCTGCAGTTGCCGCCACATCGGGGATTTCTGGCTCTTTTCTCTTCGCCTTAAATTCGGTGAGGCCAGTCGCCCGACTCTTGCTGGGCCGAGATTGCGGCCCGTCGTCGCCGGGCAAAGGGCAAGGGAGGCAGCAGGTCGGGTGCGGCGAGGCTTGGTTGGGCCTAAGCGGAGGCCGCCGCATGAGGCCAATCGGATCCGGGGCCTGGATTCGAGGATCGGGTCCCTAGCTTTGGCTGGGAGGCCGAGAAGCCGGAGATCGAGCCAGAAGTAGGGCCCGGGAGCGTGCCGCAGCGCCGCAGGCGAGGCAGTGGCCGAAGCGGCCCACCTCTGGACGCTGCCCGGGCCTGGGTAACAAAGCCGCCGCGGCCTCTGTTGGGTGATGTACGCGTGGGGGGTTCCGGCGGGCGGGGCGGAGGAGCCGCCACCACCACTGAGGCCGCCTCCTCCGCCGCTGCTTTCGCTGGAGGGCGGGCGAATGTACGGGGCGGCGGGGCCCCCGGCGCGGAGCGCCTCGGCGCCTGTGGTCCGCTCGTTGCGGCGGCCGCCACCCCAGGCGACAGGGTCAGTGGAGAAGGGCCCACGGGACCCCACGGCACCCGACTGTAGTCTAGAGAGGGTTCCGGGACGGGGGCGGCTTATCTGCTGCTCTTGTGGGTGGCTAAGGAAGAGTGTGGGTTGGGAGGCACGTGCCCGGGGACGAGGCTCACTTAGACTGTAGGTTACAGGGCAAAGGAGGCCCGGCCGTCACAGCTAATTTTGCAGGCCGGAGTTGTGCAAGCTTCCGTTGCGATCACAGGCATGCCTTTGGGGTAGGGTGGTACTGCTCAGAAGAAGGGATTTCCCTTTTGACGGCGTCTCAGTATTGAAATACATATTTCGGTGACTAGTGGTAATTTCGGCGTTCTGTGGTGCTTAGAAGTAGTGGAAGATGTAGGCGAATTTAAAGAGGAATGTGGAAGAGCCTTAACAATTATGTTTGTGATGGTGGATTTGTCACTGGTCACTGTGACACTGTAAAGTCATCCAAAGGTGTAGTTCCCAGGATTTCCTTAAAGTGCTTCTTATAGAGAGAAATGCAGATTTTGAAGTTAGATTTAATTCAAGTGAAGGTAATTCTTTGTGCCTGCACCTGGTATATTGTCAAGTTGAAAGTGTGTTCCATGTGTTTTATATGTGACTAGACTTAAGTTTTTTCTATGCTTCGTTTTTAAATGACTGTTACAACACAGATACTTTTAAGGCCATATTTCTGTTTTCCTAGGGTGTCTTTTATGAATAATCAAAAGCAGCAAAAGCCAACGCTATCAGGCCAGCGTTTTAAAACCAGAAAAAGAGGTAAATATTTATGTTTTAATATCTCTCTTCACACCAGATATCTTTTGTATCCTGGTTCCTCTGACAGTCATTGCATAGTACTAAAACCTCAAGAGAGAATACCAGAAAGGAACTTGAATTTCTAGGTAACTTCCATTTCAGATGTGCCCCTAATACTTCTACTGCTTTCTCAAATTTGTGCTTTTTAATTATCAGCATATCTCTAAGCAGGTTATTTAATGTTGTTTTTAGTGTAAAAATAAAATACCTTCTAGGACTGGGGTTGTGGCTCAGTGGTGGAGTGCTTGCCTAGCATGTGTGAGGCACTGGGTTCAATTCTCAGCACCACATATAAATAAATAAATAAAGGTTCATCGACATCTTAAAAAAAAAACTTTCTAAAAAAGGACTTCACTAGCTAGCAGTTTCATTTAAACAAACTTTTGCTTGAGCAAAGAGGTTAATTTGTAAAAAGAAAATTCTTAATGTCATTAATTTCACCCAAGTTATGCCAAGATGTGTGGTAAGGATTGGGGTTGTAACTTAGTGGTACAGAGCTTGCCTTGGGTATGATCCGTAGCAGCACACACATCCCCCCCACCCCCCAAAAAAAGTGTAAAGAGAAAAGTAATAATTTACTCATAAAATGGAAGTAAATTATGGCGTAAGAGTCACATTGTAATGTGTAATGAAATTAAATATTGCCTACAGATTTAGTAAGAAACTAACTACTTTTTTTTTTGTATTGGTGTGTACTTAAATGAATGTTGACTTCAGTAGCAAGGAATTGTGCTAGTAGTACAGGAGCTAAATAAGATATGGTATCAGGTTTTTTATTAAGCTTAATATTTTCCCAAAACACTTTCAAGTATTCTTGCTTGAAAACACGTAATCTGTTTTAAAAGAAGTTTAGAGAAATGGGTCAATTAATGGTAATAAGTTCTTTTTATTTTTCTTTTTTTTTTCCAAGAGTAAAAAATAAATTTAAGAAACAGAAAGGAGAAAGGGAGAGAAAGAGAGAGAGTGACTCTTCCAGAGAAGAGGGTCTCCAGAGCTGGTTCCCCAAGGAGTCGGGATGTCCTGCCCCTTTTTATAGATTTCAGGTTTCCTTTCTTCTCAGGCCTCCTCTTCCCACTCAGCCTATGTGACCAAAATGGCTGGAACAGAGCTTGGGGGAGGGGGCTACCATTCCCATGTGGGCCCAAAAAGGCTGGAAAGGAGCTACCCGGTATATTCTTTAGCAGCTTCTTGCTAGATATATTCATTAGCAGCTCCATGCTGGGAGGAATAATTCCCTGGGGGCAGCTGACCTTGGCAACTGGTGGCCTTGGAGGGGGAGTACTCATTTCTTTTTGGATCAGCCACCATCTTCCTGACACAATCATTCATTATCTATAGGGACTATGTAAACCCAGTCTCTTTCCCCCTTCTGATTAAGGGAAGTGAACAGTGAGAGCTCTGGCTGCTTCAAGCTGGAAAGGGCTGACATGGAGCAAGCAGTTTGGGTTTCCCTTTTAGGAATGTTTTGGGTCAGTCTAGGGGTCTGTGCTAAAAGTCTGGTTTGAAGTCTTCTGAGAGGTGGGTGCTATTTGGTGACAATTCCAGATGAGCCCCCATCTGAACCTGGTCTTGAAAATCAGGATCTGGTCCTTGTTCCCCCAGTGTTGAAGATTAAACACCTGAGAAATGCTAAGGCAAGAGCAAAAGGTAAATTTTATTTAAGAAATAGACTCCTCCAGAGAGGACGGGGTCCAGAGCTGGTGCCCCTGTTTTTCTTTTTCTATCTTGAGTAATACACAACTGAGATATGTTACAGTCTTTTATAATCTCTAGTATTCTGTTCCCTTGTAGAGGTGGTGAGGAGAGCAAAGTGTGATTTGATTCTAGTCTTTGCAGGTACATTTAGATTTAGCCAGTTAATTTTCTTAAGGAACAGGAGTTATAAACCAGAACAAATAATGCTGGTCAATAATATGCTTTCCAGCTGTGTGTTGTGGTGCACACCCATAATCCCAGCAAAGCAGGGGACTGAGGCAGGAGGGTCGAAAGTTCTAGGCCAGCCTCAGCAACTTAGCAGCAAAACCCCAAATTTTTTAAAAAGCATTCCTGTGTTCAATTTCCAGTAACTACCTCTCAAATAAACAAACAAAAAATTTAACCCTGGGAACCAGCTGGGTGTGGTGACCTGCCCGAAATCCCAGTACCATTAAAAAAAAAAATACATATACACACACTTTCCAAAGATTACTTTAATAAATACCAAATGAATGGTTAAATTAAAAACCAAATTGTTTGTGCATCTAAAGAACCAATACCCCAAGTATTTGGACAAATTTTCAAAGGGTCACTTAAGGTTTGAAGGATAGTCTAAACTCTGAAAAAGCCAAGATGCCTTAGAACATTCCAGTTGGAATTGTCTTGTGGCAGTAGGTACATGAAACATGAGTGCAATTTAGCTCACTTAATGAGATTTATTTGAAAGAGTGGCAGGAGAAAAGCCACATAATTTGTGTGACTAGGTCATCCTGACTTACATTTGCAGAGGGAAGCTTGCAAAGGATATGAATATAGTCTCTTTCCTCTTGTGTTTATTGCAAGTATTGGGTCATGTAGCTTGTGTTTGCTTTTTTCCCAGCTGTTGAAATAAATGAAATTAAGAGGAATTTGGTTAACATATTATAGTTTGATGGTACAATAAGTCTTTTGGTAAGACTTCAAATGATTTGGGTTTTTCCCCACAGATGAAAAAGAGAGGTTTGACCCTACTCAGTTTCAAGACTGTATTATTCAAGGCTTAACTGAAACTGGTACTGATTTGGAAGCAGTAGCTAAGTTTCTTGATGCTTCTGGAGCAAAACTTGACTATCGCCGATATGCAGAAACACTCTTTGACATTCTGGTGGCTGGTGGAATGCTGGGTAAGTGTCTGGGTTTTGTTGGTTTAGGAATTTAGGGAAGTGAATGTACAGAGATTATGGAGAATCCAGAATATAGACTATTGATGAACCTATTGGGTGGGGTGGTATTTTGGGCTGTGTTGTATTTATTTCGTTTCTGCCCCCATAAGTTTTTCCATTCTTTTTTTCTAATTCATAATAAGTTATCAGATTTCCCTGTTCTGTCGAGATTCATGTTTGAAGTCTAATTTCCTACAACATCCCCAGTTGATGATTTTTCCAATATATGTTTTGAATACTACCATTTTATGGAGAAACTTCTACCCTTGTTTTGTTCTATGAATGCTCTAGTCCTGTGCTGCTCAGTACAGTAGCCATTTAGTCACATATACCTATTAAGTACTTGGGATGAGGCTGGTGCAAATTAATATATGCAATAAGAATAAAGTACACATTGAATTTTAAAGATATAATAGAAAAGAGCCAGACATGATAGTGTAATCCCAGCTACTCAGTGAATCTAAGGCTGGATAATTAGCTTTAAGGCCATCTTGGGCAATATAACAAGGCCCCATCTCCAAAAAGACTTATTTTAAAAAGATAACAGAAAAAAGAATGTAAGACAAGTTATTTCAAAATGTTTTTAGAGTGATACTATATTGCCAGCCAAGCTATGAGGCTTACCTGACAGAGTGAATTACCCAGTAGTAGACCCAGGAACTTAGAACTCGTACCATTTTGGGGAGTGAAATTTGCCAAATTATATTGTTATGTTGTTTACATGTTTAAATATATATAACAACAAATCCCACCATAAACTATAATGCACCAATAAATGAGGGAAGAATTCATCCCTTTTAATGCCTAGTCAAGTGAGTATTTCTTTTCATTGCATTAGCCAATTTGTAGTAAAAAATATGAAAGATTTCTATTCATAATACTGTTACCAGTAAGGTTTTGGGGAGGGGGAAGATCTTTAAAAAATATTTACCAAGGAAGCCAGGTACATGTCTGTGATCCCAACTGTTAAGGAGGCTAAGGCAGAAGCATGGCAAGTTCAAAACTAGCTTAAACAGCCTAGGAAGACCCTGTCTCAATAAAAAGGGCTGGGGATGTGGCTCAGTGGTAGAGTGCCCTGGATTCAGTCCTGAGTACAGATTTTAATCAAAATTGTTTTTCTAAGGAACATTTAAAATACATCATAAAGAGAATAATATAATGAACACATCTGATCTTTTACCCAGCTTCAACAGTTATTAATATATCTGTGCTTTTTTCCTCCTTCCCCCGATTTTTTAAAGCATTAAGTTTTCATAACAGAATTTGTTTTTATAACAGAAGCTTGAAGGATTACTTTCTTCATGGAAAATTACATGTAATCAGAGCCATCTGTGAACATCTCCATTTGACAGATTTGGCACTACTGAATGGTTATAGTTACTTTAGGGTGCTAAGATTGTTCTATGTATTCCTGTGTACATTTTTACTCTTCATTCTTATATACTGAACCCACCAAACACACTGGTTGATTAATTTTGCTTTTAAATTTGTCTTTTAGGATGTTACCATCTTATTTTCTATTGAAAATTCTTCTAAAAAATATTTTTTAAAAAAATGGGGCTTGGGCTGTGGCTCAGCAGTAGTGCACTTGCCTGGCATGTGTTGGGTACTGGGTTCAATTCTCGGTACCACATATAAATAAATAGAATAAAGGTCTATCAACAACTAAAAAATATTTTAAAAATAATAAAATAAAATTGCAAAATTTGAGACTGGGATGTAGCACAGTGGTAGTGCCCTTGGTTCAATCCCCAGTGCTGAAAATAACTAAAATAAGCAAAATTCTTTGTAAAATATTCTTTAGCCCCAGGTGGTACACTGGCAGATGACATGATGCGTACACATGTCTGCGTGTTTGCAGCACAAGAAGACCTAGAGACCATGCAAGCATTTGCTCAGGTAAGTAAGATTTTACTTCATGTTTTCAGTTAGCTAATGTTTAAGGAACATTTTGCTTTAAAGGGAGGGACATGTAGTTGGGTGTGGTGTTGCAGGCCTATAATACCAGCCACTCAGGAGGCTGAGGTAGAAGGGTTTCAAGTTCAAGGCCAGCCTCAGCATTTTAGCAAGACTTATCTCAAAAAATAAAAAGGACTAAGGTGTAGCTCAGTGGTTAAATCTCCTATACCACAAGCGTGCTCATGCACACACCCAGCAATACAAATCTATAGAGAAGTTGCAATTAAAGCATTAGTAGTACTGGTATATTTAGGATTGAGGAGCTGATAAAACTCTTCCCAAGTTGATATAAAGTGTAAGCTTTTGCCTTTAGTGTTAAGACTTCCTTCTTTGCTGTTCTGGAAATAACTTTGGTGTTCTTCATAGGTTTTTAACAAGTTAATCAGGCGCTACAAATACCTGGAGAAAGGTTTTGAAGATGAAGTAAAAAAGGTATGAGGAGGGATTGGGTGTAGCTCAAAGGTAGAACAAGAATAGGGTCAGGAAGAGAATGTTAAATTCTAATTCCCACAGATTTGATGTAATTTTAAATACTTAAGTGAGCTGTAATTGAAATCTAATTTTGGAGTATATTATATAGTTTGTTAAAATAGTTCTAACTTGTGCACTGTTGCTTAGCTGTGTCCAAACAAATGGCAAAGTTAAAAGGCTAAGTGGAGTTGTTCAAAATATGGAGGGCAAAGGATCAGAGCCTAAAAAATTGAATAACAAATTTAGCTTAGCTTACTTGATATTTGAGTCCCAGTGTGAAATATTTTATAAACAGGTGCAAAGAAAATCTGATAACATTAATATTTATTGAGTGCCAGGTTTTGTTCTAATTATATCAACTCATTTAATATTCATTGAAGACCCTGGGAGCCAGGTGTAATAAGATGCCTGTAATCCTAATGACTTGAAAGGCTGAGGCAGGAGGATTGCCAGTTTGAGACCAGCCTCAGCAATTTAATAAGGCCCTAGCAACTTAGCGAGGCCGTGTCTCAAGATTTAAAAAAAAATAAAAAGGGCTGCAGATGTAGCTCAGTGTAAAGCACTCCTGTGTTCAGTTCCCAGTTAACCCCCATCCCAGAACAAACCTGGGGAGGTTGAGGCAGGAGGATCACAAGTTTGAGACCAGACTCAGCAATTTAGCAAGATCCTATCTCGGGCTGGGGCTATAGCTCAGTGGCAGAGTGCTTGCCTAGCAAGCGTGAGGCACTGGGTTCAATCCTCAGCACCACATGAAAATAAAATGAAAATATTGTGTCCACCTGTAACTAAAAAATAAATATTAAAAAAAAGGCAAAAAAAAAATAAAGGCATTCTATCTACAACTACAAAAAAAAAAAAAGGATCCTATCTCAGAATAAAAAGGACTAGAGGTATAGCTCAGTGGTAAAGTACCCCTGTATTCAGTCCCAAATACAACCCTGGTAGGCAAATTTTATTATCCACATAAAGTGTGAGGAAACTGAAGCACAGAGATTAAATACTTTGCCCAAGATTATTTAGCTAATCAGTTATTACAGCTAAGATATAAACTTAAGTGGTTAGGTCCCAGAGCCCACCCTTTCAATCAATAGAGTGAGTGTACCTTGCTGTTTGTCTTAGTGTAAAGCAATTGCTTTTCTGACTCTAAATTATTTACTTTTACAGCTGCTGTTGTTCTTAAAGGGTTTTTCAGAGTCGGAGAGGAACAAGCTGGCTATGTTGACTGGTGTTCTTCTGGCTAATGGAACACTTAATGCATCCATTCTTAATAGCCTTTATAATGAGAATTTGGTTAAAGAAGGTAATTAACCTTTAGAATAGGGTAGTTTTTGAATGGATTAGAGTGGAGTAGGTGTAATTAAAGTAAAAAGAAATGCTTTGGGAACCCAGAAAGATTGGTACCAATTGGGAGACTTGGGATATCTTTAATGGAGATGACACACCAGAAAGATGTCAAGCTGAAAGGAATAATTAGTTCCCACTTGTGGCTTCTGTATTCTGACAGTGATTTTTTTTTTTTTTTTTTTTTTTTTTAAGCTAACTTGGGCTGGGGATATAGCTCAGTTGGTAGTGTGCTTGCCTCACATGCACAAGGCCCTGGGTTCAATCCCCAGTGCTATAAAAAAAAAGCTAAATTTTTTTCTTCCCTTATATGGGGTACTAAGTATTTAAGGGCCTTTTAAATTCCTGTTATTGTAGGAACTGTTACCCTTAACTTACATTACAAAACACTAAGTATAAAGTTGGCCAAAAATATGCAACTAGCAAAGGATGAAATAGGTGGGGCTGGGATTGTGGCTCAGTGGTAGAGCACCTGGAGGGTGGGGCGGGACCCGGTTCCATTCTCAGCACCATATAAAAATAAAGGCATTGTGTTGTGTCCATCTACACCTGAAAAATAAACATTAAAAAAAAAGGATGAAAATAGAGACATTGGAGTGAAAATGTAAGCAGTGGTAAAGGAAAACTGAGGGTTCAGTTTAGAAAGAGAATGAATAATCCTGTGTGGTTGAACTGTGGAGGGGGGAGCACATGGAGATAACAAGATTAAAATCTGAGAAGGTATTTCTGTTAGATGAGCTTTTTCTCCCCCCTTTCCCCTTTCACAGGAGTTTCAGCAGCTTTTGCTGTAAAACTCTTTAAATCATGGATAAATGAAAAAGACATCAATGCAGTAGCTGCAAGTCTTAGGAAAGTCAGCATGGATAACAGACTGATGGTTTGTAACTTTTTTTTCTTTCTTCCCATTCCTACCAACCCTGGAGGTATATGTAAGAGAAATTTTATTTTGAAATCTGAAAGGGGACAATATTTTAATTCTCCTTTCAGGAACTTTTTCCTGCCAACAAGCAAAGCGTTGAACACTTCACAAAGTATTTTACTGAGGCAGGCTTGAAAGAGCTTTCAGAGTATGTTCGGAATCAACAGACCATAGGAGCTCGCAAGGAGCTCCAGAAAGAACTTCAAGAACAGATGTCCCGTGGCGATCCATTTAAGGATGTAAGCAGTTTTTCTTTGAAGCATCTTTTTATGGCTAAACTTCTGGCACTTTCATGCATTTGAGAAACTTCAGAAATATTTCACCAGAGTGAGTGAATTAATACTTAGAGAATTGTACTTCATCTTAGCCATTTTCATATAATTAATTATTCAGTACCTTACTGATGTCCCAAAATGATGAAACTTGGGTATTTTGTGCAGTCCATTTGACAGACCTGATTCTGTTTCCTTCTCAGTCCCTACTAGCTGGTTTGTGTGTAAAGTGAGGCTGAAATTCACGACCACTTCCAATTCCAAAGGTTCTATCTATATGTGGTACATATGTGATTGTTGCTAATTGCATGAAAAGGTATTTTTATGCTTTCATAAAATGTCTAAGTTTGATGTGTGAAGTGTATATATCAAAACTGACTTCCTTTACTAAATTTGGATTATTTTGCAGATAATTTTATATGTCAAGGAAGAGATGAAAAGAAACAACATCCCAGAACCAGTTGTCATTGGGATAGTCTGGTCAAGTGTAATGAGCACCGTGGAGTGGAACAAAAAAGAGGAGCTTGTAGCAGAGCAAGCCATCAAGCACTTGAAGGTATTAGAACTGTGCCTGACAAACTGTTCTGCTTTTAAGTGGGGATAAGTGAACTGTCACTGTACTTTTCTAAGCGGATATATCACATCTTTGGTTCCTGGGGATGACCCTCCAGTAAGTAGACAAGTAACATATTAACTACTGATAACACTTTTAAGTCTGACTTAGGCTTTATTTGGTTCACAGGTTAAAAAACAAGAAAGAGTTTAAAAGTAATTTAAGCCTGCAATTTGATGTTTGTTTTTGAGAGAATATTGGAAAACACCCCCCACCCATATTAACTGTTCAACAGTTGCCTGACATGCTTACAGAATTATTTGATTTTGATGCTTAGTAGGTTTATGGGAGTTTGTTTTGCTTTAATATTCTTGCTTTTAATTTCCAATAAATATATTTCACAGTGATTTTAAAATATGGGTTGTGTTCTGTGTTGTAAGAGTTTTGTAATGGTTGGTTATTGTATTGAATGACTAAATAGTCTCTTCCTTTAAAAGCAATACAGCCCTCTACTTGCTGCCTTTACTACTCAAGGTCAGTCTGAGCTGACTCTGTTACTGAAGATTCAGGAGTATTGCTATGACAACATTCATTTCATGAAAGCCTTCCAGAAAATAGTGGTGCTTTTTTATAAAGGTAATATAAATTTTGAATGTTGTGAATGTGTTTTTTTATATTCTTGAACTAGAGGAGCCAGGTGTGATGGCGCATGCCTGTAATTCCATCTACTCAGGAGGCCAAGGCAGGAGGACCACAAGTTTGATTCCAGCCAAACTTCACAAGATCCTGTCTCAAAATGAAAAGGAGGATCGGAGGGTGGCAAGTCCTTGAATAGTCCATTGTTTTCAAAATGAGTATCTGAACTTGGGCTCCTTGAACTGTTTTACATCTAGGCATCTTTGATTAAGTTGGGTGCTTTTTAGAATATTTCTGTCAGAATATCTTCCTATTCACAAGTTAAAATCCAAAGCCATTGTGATGGAGTCTGAGAGTTGACTCTTAACACTTCTAACCACACCACATCAAATTCCCCCAGGTCGGGGCTGGGGATGTGGCTCAAGTGGTAGCGCGCTTGATCCTCAGCACCACATACAAAAAAAGATGTTGTGTCCACCGAAAACTAAAATAAATAAATAAATAAATATTTTTTAAATTCTCTCTCAAAAAAAAAATTTCCCCTGGTCCCTTCTCCAGACATACTTCCTACCTCTAGTCTTCTGCCTGTGGGAAGCCCATCACTCAATGTTGATTTTCATTTGTGCTTTAAGACTAGTTTAGAATGCTTCTGTAACTCCCCTGTTGCAGTTTTTGCTTCTTTCCTGAGATCTGAGTTATAGAAACATGCTGTAAATTTAGTAGTAAATGCAGGCCTCTGTTGGGAGAGAACCCATGCAGGCAGTTAATTTATTAGTTGGTGATAACACTTTACAGTTCCCCATTTATTTATCAGAGCAGCCTGAGTCCCAGTAGATGTAGATGGTGTGTACATGTGTTCTCTCTCTAGTTCTCAATGATGATCTTTTTAGTTCTGTGTATTCTAAACTTAAGAACAGGAATCAACCCTGGTCTCTAAAAAATGTTTAAAAGGAAAGTATGGAAAATGGGTAGTACCTATGCTTCAGTGATTGTCATCTTGTATTTAGGTTTATTGAAAGCATTTATTCAAATCCCTACAGTTTGGGTAGTTTCATACATGGGCAGCAAGTTGAGAAAAGTCTTTTAAAAATAATGATCCTTTCATCTTTTTAACTTCTTGAAATTGTGAAGAAACCAGTGTTTTGAATACAACCAACAAAAATAATGTTTTTACTTTCTGTAAAAATGTTGTTGCCAAGTAGGCATTGATAGTTGATAATTTTGAACCACCTTAGGTAGTTGTAATTCTGCCTCATGTGGAGAAATACATTAAAACTCCTAATGAAATGATTTATTGCTCTCTATAGCTGAAGTCCTGAGTGAAGAGCCGATTCTGAAGTGGTATAAAGATGCACATGTTGCAAAGGGGAAAAGTGTCTTCCTTGAACAAATGAAAAAGTTTGTTGAATGGCTCAAAAATGCTGAAGAAGGTAAGTCTTTCCCTTTGTGCAGATGGTTTGGAAACTGATTTTAATATTTAGGCTATATGTCCACATTTGCATTCTTCTCATTCTCTTGCTGCTTTGTACCTAGGGAGTACATACTTTGTTTACTTATGACAAACTTGCAAATAGTCATTTGATTTAAGCCAGTTGGGGAAATTAGGCTATAATTATTAAAGTATTTCGATGGCACAGCTATAATACTAAAGATTCTTAGAAGGGATATTGATTTTTTTGTTTGGTACTGGGGATTAAACCCATGGGTGCTGTACCACTGAGCTACATATATACCCCCTGTCCCTTTTTTTTTTTTTCATTTTGGGATGGGTTCTTGCTAAGCTGCTGAGGCTGGCCTCAAACTTGGATTCCTCCCTGCCTCAGCCTCCTGAGGAGCTGAAATCACAGGTGTATATCATCATGCCTGGCAGGAAATTGATAAGTTTGAGAATATTTATTTATTTTGAGATTTATGAATGAATACTTTTTAATGTCTTCATATAAGTAAGATATTACTAGTGGAATTCTTCTTTATAATTTTAAGTGTTTTAAAGTAGAAAATGGGAAATTTTGCTTTCTGACATATGTTTGACTACATTTTCCCCCTTTCTAGAATCTGAGTCTGAAGCTGAAGAAGGTGACTGAATTTTGAAACTACATCCTCAGTAAAGCAAACAGGAATTGTAGATAAAATGTCATGTCTCATGTGTCCTGGTTCTTACATCTTCCTACCTCCCTATATCAAGCATGATATAAGGGCTTTCATGGCAAATTTTATTTTAACTGTTTCTATGGTTACTGGAAATGTTGGGTTTAGTTTCTAAAACCATGTTTTAAGTAGCTGCAGGAGCTATAGATTTGAATCTAATGTTGCATTAGTCTTTTCAGTTATCTTCTACCTCCTGTATTTTCTACTGTAATAATGTAATTTAAGGCCTTCCACAATGAACAGTTCACTTTATTCCCTGGGTTTTCTATATATAAACAGTTTTCAAGATATGATTTGGTTAAAAATAATTTGTTATAAAAATTCTGTTTGCAAATTAAACTGTAAAAGTATCCAAAGTCTCAAAAGGCAATGGTTTGTGTGATAATTTGGTATGCCTAGAGCCCTATTGATCAATGAAAGTCTCTTACACAGTAATTGAACTCATTAACATGATCCTGAGTATTTGGACCATTGCTTGCATGTTAACATTTACTTGTATTTTTAATCCCAGATGTCCTTAAATTCAATTGTTTGCTCTCTGTTTTTCATCATTAGTGAAGCTATGGAGAACAAACTTGAAGTTTGAGGAATCTCATATGTCAGAGATGGTAGGAAGAAGAAAATTGAACTTTTTCCCATTAAGAAACTTCTGCATTCAGTTTGTATCTTTCTAGGCAAAACAAATGGATACTCTTTTCATATGAACATTTTCAAATGTACCATAGAAGTCTTATTTTGTGCTCAGAATACCCTTAGATTGATATGAAAGGACTTCTAAAAAAGTGTGAATAGAGGAAATGACTGTTACAGACCCCCATAAAATTGTTGAGAATGTTAAGAGTCAGCATGTTCTAATTGGGGATCTGAATTTAACATATTTCCTTTTGGCTTAGTGCATTTGTTCCAAAGAATGGAGTTCAATAATTATATATTCTCACTTGGTCGTACTGGACTGGCTTCATTCTCTTAGTACATTCAGTAATGACTCAAGCATCTGGCTGTTAATGTACCCTAGTTGCCAATTCTTAATTGCCATGAGCCAAATATTTCTTCTATGTGATTAATCCATTTATTTTAATGGCTGCCTTTTAATTTTTCATCTTTTTATTTTCTTGCTGCTGCCCATCCATGTATGTAGTCATTAATGGGAAAATATTACAACATTGGGTGGAAAGGCATTGTTATAAGTGAATGTTTTGAAGGATTTTTTAATAGAAAGAAACTAGCCTGGAATAATGCCACCAGAGATTGAGTGGAAATTACCCCTTTTGAAGGTGCCATTCTTATTAGCCAAGAAGTTGGTATTTAAACATTCATCTTGAGGGAATAACGTGTAATATAATTTGAAATAAAGTTATAGTGACCTTAAGAAGAGCATTATAACAGATAACATTGTGGGAATGGGGTGATTTTGTTAAATGAATAACTTTGATAAAGTTTTCATGTGCAGGCAAAATGTATTCACTAGATTTCTACATAGTGATCTGCTTTTACTTTGTAATTTGTAGTCCGCAAAATACTTTTTTTTTTTTTTTTTAATAAAGTCCATCCTTACACTTAGGTTTTATAGATTAGCCTTTTTCTTTGTTTATAAATTTCATTTTAATACCTAGTAGTGTACTGTATGTTGTGTGTTTAGATGTCTTTACTGTATAAGCATTAAATAATTCCTCCTTTCATCCTTAAAACTCCCAAATTGTAAACACCTACACAGAATTATGATGTAGCTGAAACTACATTGACATTTTTACGACCAAATCATTGCATGTTATTGCCGTACAAAGTGTACCCTGTTCTATTATATACTGTGTATAGTGAAAGAGTGTGTAGTCTTCCAGAACTACATTATGATCTTTGATCATAGTTTTTTTCTTCATAATGACACAGTAGTGTTTACTTACTACAGTATTTAGTAAATGGATAAGTCATCTGTGAGTATGATATGAAGAAAGGGAATGCTTTATAAAACAATTGCAGATTTTCATTTTAAATTTTAAAACGCAGCTGCCAGTGCCAACCTATGGCCTCAAATATGTAATTCTTAATAAAGATGTTAAACTTGTACTTTTAATTTTATGATTGGATAAATGTTAAGTTGATTTTCCTAGTTTGGTGTCAGTTTCTAAGGTTAAGTTTCTACTTGGATGCTATAATTAAATGTGTGTTTAGAGCTGATAAATTTTTTAGTCTTCCTCTAGGATTATTGTCCTAGAAATTCTTTTTGTTCTCATAAATATTCATTCCAGATACCAAAACGGCCACGGGGTTTTTTAACATGATTATGATGGTGATGAGGGGAAAATGCACATTTAAGAGATTAACCTCTGGTTCAGTGTTTCTTCTACGTTTCCCCCCAAGAAATTTATTTTTTTCCTAGTGGCATCCCCAATAAATTTTAATATCATAGATATGGTGTGTATGTACTGTGTCTGTGCTTTATATATGAAAGGAGTAAGACTTTTTGGTTCCCCCTTGGGGTGAAGTCACCTCCATAGAGAATGTACACTTATATACCTTATTAAAAAAGGAGTGAAAGCTGGGTACAGTAGATTATGCCTGTAATCCCAGGTACTTGGGAGGCTGAGTCAGGAGGAATGAAAGCTGGAGATACCAGTTGAACAATTTAGACTGTCTCAAAAATTGGGATTGGATGTTGCTCAGTGGTCAAGGCTTACCTAGTGTATGTGAGGCACCAGTTTGATTTCTAGTGCTGTGGGGGCGGGTGTTGGTTTTTTTTAAAAGAGGAGTCCTAAGGATACGTGTTTATGCATGTCCTTGGTGAGAAGCAGTATTTTTTTTTTTTTTCCCTGTCAGGATCACTAGGAAATGAAAGGAATTCCCATAAGTCATCTTTCAACAGTTTCCTTTGTACCTTAGCCCACCAGGCAAGGCATTTCCTATTGGCTTTTGGAGATTCTTACTTGGTTGTAAATGTATCAATAAATAGAATCATTTGGACTTCTAATATGTAAAAATGTTTGAAAATCTTACAGATGACTGATTTATCTCAAGGTTGTGGGGACAATGCTAATGAATTTTTACTGTTCACTGAAGTAGGCTGCTTATAGAAAATAACGCACCACCACTGTGGGTTGACTTTAAATGTAGATGCCAACGTTGGCATATGTACATTAGACTATAAAATTTGCTTTGTAAAAATTCCTCGGTTGCTATTCACAGTTGCCATGTAAAGTAGATTAATAAGCATTTCTGTGAGAAATCTGTTAAATTGCCTTACCATGATTTTTTTAATATGCAATATTAGTCCTTTAGTATCAATATGAGGTATTTCTATTCACCAGCCTACTGAAGACTAAAGATTTAAAATATTGGGAATAAAAAGGGTTTTCAGTAGGCTTGATTTTAAATGGAAACTGAAAAATCTGATAAGTACTATGGTCTTGACTTTTGTCTTAGAAGTTGAATTCCAGTGGATTATAATCTGAACACAAACTTAGATATAATTGAAAACTGGATGAGAAAAGCTTCCCAACTCTTCTCCCCACCCTATCCCTATTTAACTATGGGCAGTTTAGGAATCTGGCAAATCAGCCATTTTCATTCTCCAGTGCACTTATTAATGAAGTGAAAGAATGAGAGCACTTTACAAATGTACTTAAATCACTGTCACTTTAGTCCCTCTTAATCAGAAATTTAAAGCTCCACTGATGTATTATCTAGATGAGAGTGGTAAAAAGCTGCAGATTCCTTGCTTTTGTAGACTGCTCAGAGACCCATTTTGTAAAACAATCAAAAGTTGGGTGTGTGTGTGTGTGTGTGTGTGTGTGTATAGATTTATACAGCTCAGTGGCAGAGTACTTCCCTAACATACACAAGGCCCTCGGTTTGATCCCTAAGACTACAAAGAAAAAAATAATGAGCTAGGAGCCAATTCATGCTAAAATACTAAGGACAAAAGAATTGAAGGGACAAAAATTGTTTAAACTATTTCTTAAAATATTGAAGGTTGTGCTTAAAATTAAGTTCACTTAAATAAATTAGTTGGAAATAAGTGACCTGGTTATAGACTGAAGCTTTTATTACTTAAAAAGATGTTCTACATTCTATTTTAAGGATAAAATATTTTCTCTGTAAATACACCTCATTTCTATTCTAGTTAGGCATAATGGAGCCGGGCACAGCAAACACTTGAAGAATGGAGGAAACCGGATAGCTGGTAACCCAGATAGCTCTTGGCACTCTGTGAACAACCTCAAGTACAGCCATCTAAGCCAGTGATATTGCTGCATTCATTATTTGTGTTTAACTGTGAAACTTGCATCTTGTCTGTACTCTTGAAATTGAATAAAATTTCATGAGACTTGTTAATGTAGAGAAAAGCAATGACTGTTCAGTTGGTTGTACACTAAAGCCTCAGACCTTGACCTTATTTCATGGTTTAATTAGGAACCAAAGGGCTTTCTCAGACATGCTTTTCTTCTAGATGGCACCTTTGCATTTGTATGGCTTACATATTTCAAACTTGAGTGTGGTGGTGTATACCTATAATCCCAGCAATTTGGGAGGCTAAGACAGAATTACAAGTTTGAGGCCAGCCTGGGCCACCTGGCAAGAACCTGTCTCAAAAATAACTGGGGGTGCAGCTCAGTAGTAAAGGGCTCTGGGTTCAATCCAAAGACCCCAGCCAGTGTTTGGTTTTCAAAGATACCAATTCCATTTATTCTCTCCAGAGTAGGCTGTAGGTCCCTATCAGCCCGCATGTCTAGTGGATCAAACTCTGTCCACTCCAGCTCCAAAATAACCTATCAAATACTGTCACCTTAATTCAAGCCACCAGTATCTTAAATGGAGAAGTGACCTCTGCATACACTTCGTACACATCATCTGTTAGCACAGTAGCTAGAACATTCTTTAAGTACACTTTAAGTTCAAAAGCTTGGCTTCCCCTAGAAAGCCCTACATGATCACTTCAGTTGAATCTGCGTTTCCCTCTTACTATATGCCCAATATTCCTAATGTCTGTGGAAAGTTATGAACTCTACCTAACAAACTGTATAAGGAGGACTCCCGTATTTACGATCAATGTCCATCATACAAGGCTGGATTCCCAGTGGATAAAATACGTAAGGCCCAGGGGAACATTAAGTGTAAACACAGTGGCCTCATCACTCCAGCAGCCACTGTCGACACTTCACCACCAGGGTCCACAGTAAGGATTACACTAAACCTAAAACTACAATTGCTGCCTGATTATTTAGGGCTTTTTTTTTTTTTTTTTAAAGGTTGGCCACCAGCCAAAAAAAAGGTGTCAGTATATTAGCAGCAAAATTGGCCTGGTTATTATGAAAGAGGGTTTGTAGTACAAGGCAGGATATTCAGGGCTTTGGGGTCTCCCTTGGGCATTTCTTAGGATAACAGTTTCTTGACTATTAAAAGTGGATAATTACCACACTCATCACCTTACAAGGGCATAGTAAGCAGTGACTCAACTCAATTTCCCCACAAGGGATGAAGAAGTCTGGCACAATGGTGCATGCCTGTAATCCCAGCCACTTGGGAAGCTGAGGTGGAAGGATCATGAGTTCAAACCCAGCCTCAGCAACTTAGCAAGTCCCTATCTCTAATAAAATATTTTAAAAGGGCTGGGGATGTGGCTCAGTGGTTAATTGCCCCTGGGTTCAATCCCTGGCACCAAAAGGGGGGGGGGGAGGATGAAGATGTTGATACTATGAGGAAAACAAAATTCAATTAATAATTCTAATTTCCACATGTGTGGGGTTTTCCCAAACTCAGTTCTCTGGGTGTTGTCATGGCCACAGCCCAATTATGCCAGGTCAGTGTGGTAGGTTGTTGGAAAGCCAAAGTGCCTGGACTCAGTGAGGGAGACATGACATTGGGGCAGATCAGTGACTTCCAAGAAGAGTTCAGTAGCAACAGGCTGAGCAGATGGCACCTTCAACCTTCATGGTGTTTCACCAAGCACTGCCTCCTCTCATGGTGTTAGTTGGGTAGTGGCCAGCTAGATATGTGGCACATACCCTTTTTCACAGTGCCCTCCATTCCACATCAGGCCCCAAAGAAGGGTTTTACATTAGGCTGCAGAAGCAGTGACTTCATCAGCATTAGCTTGCTTGTATGACCAACATTCCAAGGAGTAACTGTCCAGATGTACATGCAGTAAAACAGCTTTCTTCAGATAACACTAACTTGCTCTGGTTTTCAGCATGTACAAAAGAAAGCCAGTGTCTTTCAAGGTAATATGTATCTGCCATGTGGTGACACAGAGCATAGCTGTAATCACAGCCATTTGGAGGCTGAGGCAGTAGGATCACAATTTCAAAGTCAATCTGGGTAATTTAGTGAGACCAATCTCCAGTATTTGCATATGTATCTAGACTTTCTGGTCTAGGTTTGCTCTCATTTTCCCTTTGGCTAGGGTTTTTTTGGCAAAAAAAGGGGGCACTCAGGGACATTTTTTCCCCTTTTTAACTTATTGTCTCCCTCTTTAGAATTGAGACAGGTGTTCTAAAACTCAAAATACAATCCTTATACTACCTGGAGTTAGCATCAGATCTCCACAGGTTAGTTAAGGATTCAGTCTCACAAGACTCAGTCCCCACTCAAATGACAATCACACATCTTTGTTGTTTTGGGTTTATGTGTGATTGATAGGCATCAAATCCCCTTATATGTATGCCAGGCAAGTGCCCTACCACTGACCTATCCAGCAGTTTTTAAATTGTATTATGAGAAGGTCCCAAACTACATTGCCTAGGCTGGCCTCCAACTTGAGGTCTTCCTATCTCAGCCTCCCAAACACCTGGATTACAGGTCTGCACCACCAACACTAGCTGGCGTCTGGTTATTTATTTAGTGGTGTTGGGGATTGAACCCAGGGCCTTATGCATGCAAGGCAAGCACTCTACCAACTGAGCTACATTCCCAGTCCTTTCTCAGATTATTTTTAACTGACCAGTTAAACATGTCATTTATTGGCTTGTAGTTCTCATATCTCCCTCTTCAAGTTTGATAATTTTGTAGAGCAGCACACAGGATTCAGGAAAACTGTTAGGGTCTGTAAACAAGTCAGGATGGCGCCTGGCATTTTGCCAGAGGGAGTAGTTTGTGAAGTAACACCAGCGAGCCATTAAGTGTGGAGATTCCTTATTGGTTGACTGCTGTATCTAGTTTATGTTAATTAAGATAAGCTGTGTGGAATGTATATATATATTGCTCCTGTCCTACAATAAACGGCTCCCACTCTTGCTGTATCAATGTACACAAGTTCCTCATCACCCCCCCCCCCCCCCCATTATTTTGCTGCAGCCGGACTGCGAACTGCAGCAGAAAACAGTTTACTTACTAGATTACCAGTTTATCATAAAATAGCCAGGTGTGATGACACATACCCACAATCCCAGTGGCTCCAGAGGCTGGGGCAAAATTC